TGACGTATTCAGTACTTAGTGTGATTGGCTTTATGATTGAAGGTTACGCCCTAGAGTCTTTTACTGCTTTGTAATTGGTTAGAGTTTTGAAAATGAATAAAGAGAGTTTGAGTTGGTCTTGGCGAATACTCCACGACAGACGCAGCCTTGGGCAGTCGAGTCCAGTCCGAGAGAGTCCAGGGGCGAGCCTTGAGGCAGTCCAGTCTTGGGCTAGTCTTGGGTCAGCCTTGCGATATAGTCTTGGGGATCTTTTCCCCAGGGCGCTGTGTCTGGTAGAGTGCTCGAAAGATCGACTAAGACGAGAGCTGAAACGTATTTCGATGTGTGTGTCTTATTTGACTGTGAAGTATAAGTGACTTTCCCGATCCCGTACCTCAAGGGGACGAGATAGAGAGACGAGACGAGATTCCCCGCTGGCAAGTGTGGAGACCCCGTGGAGAAGAGATTTCCCCCTGATAATAACCTTAAAAATTGTAATCTTTCCACACATATAAGCAAATGTACAAAAAGGAATTGTTAGAACAATATCAAGAAATAAGATTTTTTTTTGATTATTTTATCATGCTTGTTTAAGAATTTTCTTTCATGTTATTTGTAATTAATATCTTGATTCGCCCATTAAGGCAATTACCAATTTAGTGAGTGTAAACAGAGAACATCGTCAATAAGCAGTGACTCGTGATGTCCCCCTTTTCTTGTAACTATATTTTTTGTTGTGCATAATGTATAAAATGCAGATTGATGCAAGGATATAAAATGTATTGTCATTGTCGTTGATGTTAGATGAATCCAGGATTTTTATTATTATTACGAAGACATGAGATGATGTGAAATACAGTACATGAAATCATACATGACTCTGTCTCCCACGATGTGCACGATTTACATCCTTGACAATACCATAGCCACATATTGCTTACTATTACTATTTATACATATACAATGCATTGTTTGTTTTAAATACTCGTTTGTAAGGTCACATGACACAAAAAAAAATTTAGGGGCATAACGTTACAGTTCAGTCCATGTTTGGTGTATGTGTTGTCAATGGCAACGAGAATCAACTCGCGCGTCACGAAGGAAACTATATAATATCAATGTGTAATTGCTAGTATTATACATGTGCATATGCAAATTTGATACGTGCTTAAACATAATATTGATGATACTTTAGTTCATAATAGCGTACTAGGGTATAACTTGTTTAAGAGCGATCCCCGTCTTTAAATTGTGTCTTCTTCACCTTACTGTTTCAGATTATTAAGGTTGACGTCTGCTTCAGCTTCTGAAAACAATTCACGAATTTCTATTAATAGGTGAAAACATTGTTATTGTTTGCAGACAAATATCAGAATGTGAAAACAAGTATGTGAAGTTCATCGACAAATTTGATCGAGTAACAAGTCTTATTTTTGCTATTGCAAATATTTTTTTGAACCGCCTTCCCATTATTACTTGTCAAGTACGTGTGCAACCCACGTTGATTGAGAGAATCCAAATTTACCTAGTTTGTCACCCAAATTTTCGTGTCCTATAGCGACATCACCAAGGATCCTCACTGCCGCATCATTCTCGGCGTTAACTGTAAAGTTGTTAGCACTGACATTGCCATGGATATGTACTATTTGTTTTCTATGACGACGTCCTGTATTCAAAAATGAAATTAGTGAAAAACACATCCTATCAAAATTATGGCAGGTATTGTGCCGAGAACCGAAACAACATGTGCTATGTCGATCACTTTGGAAACACATAATAGTGAAGAACTAATTGTAAACTAGTACTCACGGATATAGCAGATTATTCCACTAATAATCATGATTACAACGGCTAGGGAGCCTCCAATCACGGCAAATATCATACCCATTGATAACTCTAAGTCAAAAAAAAGACTCAGATTGTACGTCTGAAGATATTCGACATATTAAATAGAGTGATATTTTTTATGCAGTGCAAAATATTTGTTTGCGAGAAAAAAATGTCTGGAAAAACTGTTCGTTTTGGATTTATTTCTATAGTATATTTCAATTTTATTCGAATTTTCTAATAATTCGTGACAACCATATTTGTTTCCGCCATATGTAACCGAACAGCTATTTTGAGTATGTGACGAGGCGTTTTTATCATAAACCAATGTTTTATCAATTTCTTGTGTGAAAATTATTTCTATGACTATTTTTGTTATTGAGGTTTTGTGAATATTAGCTCGTAACATAAAATTCTATTGTAAAAGGCGATGACAATTTTAATGAAAACGCCAACTACGTCAACGGGATATCAGTAAGTTGCATTTAAACCATAATATATATAGTAAGTAACCACGTATGTGCCTGGGAAAATGGTACGGGAACAGAGATCAATGAATTGTGCGGATGTCGGAACAAAGTGACGTATTGACGTATTGTGCCAAATCAAACATGTATACTGCCGACGACAACTTACAAAATTCAAGTTGGAAACAAATAATCATTGAAATTACCCGTGATTGAAGGGCGGCAGTCGTCGTGCCGCGTCCTGTTCGATATGGGACTCATAGCGACGTATACAACGCGTGTAAAATACATTGTTTATTTACATGAAATTCGAACACGCGCTGTGCGACGACCACCGCGCTTTAAGACGTGGATTTAAAAGTCTAGTCGATAATGGCAAGTGATATACTTAAAGGCACAATCTTTCCTGCTTAAATTGCAACATTTTGTCTATTTTTATGTTTTTTTTTATCTTTCGATCAACAATTTCCTATTGGCTACAGGTTTTGCAAAATTTCGGTAAAAATATGAACCACATTATGTGAGTTTTATTTGGTGAAAATGACAAAAGCTGACTTTTGCGCTCAGAGGGTTAATGATATGCAAATGACCTATTAATATGCGATACTGTATTTAGAACTATTCTCTGAATGGTGACAAAAGTTGACTTTGGCGCTCAGAGGGTTAATGATATGCGAATTACCTAATTAATATGCACATACGGTATGTAGAACTATTTTGTGAATGGTGACAAAAGTTGACTTTGGCGCTCAGAGGGTTAATGATATGCGAATTACCTAATTAATATGCACAGACGGTATGTAGAACTTTTTATGTGAATGGTGACAAAAGTTGACTTTGGCGCTCAGAGGGTTAATGATATGCAAATTACCTAATTAATATGCACATACGGTATGTAGAACTTTTTATGTGAATGGTGACAAAAGTTGACTTTGGCGCTCAGAGGGTTAATGATATGCAAATTACCTAATTAATATGCACATACGGTATGTAGAACTATTTTGTGAATGGTGACAAAAGTTGACTTTGGCGCTCTGAGGGTTAAATTGCTGAGCAATACACGACACTAAAATTTACTAAAATTTAAAATGTATTCGATTACCTGGCTGGTCAGGGGGCTCAATAAGTAGTTCACCAGTCGGCATAGCGTCTAAGAACAATCAGAACAAATATATTAGACCAACAGGTACATATTAGCATAATTAATAGAACATGACTGGTCAGTTCCAACTCCGAGTGTTCCGGAAAATGTACCAGTGTCGTAAAACAATCCAAGGGTTAGGTAGGGTATTCCATAAGTCACGAGTCAACAAATCGCGAATCACGATTTAAATAGTTGAAGACCAAATGTGGATCACACATAGTGATAATTATTAATTAAATATTAATAATATCATTATTAGTTTTTAAAAATCTCTGCAGTGTATGGAATCCACATTTTCCCTGCTTATGTGAATCATAATTGTTACAAGATTTGCTTATTCGTGAGTTTTGGATTACGCTAACCAACTTCACTCGGCCTCGCGCTCGTGTTGCGTCATATATAATTGAATGCAGGTTACCTGTCATGACCGTTAATTCTGCATCCGTCGACGTTGCCTGGCCTAGTATATTGGTTGCTATGCAATTGTAGACGCCTTCATCCTGTGGCAGAGTCTCATTTATATTCAGCCAACTGACGTCATCACTGGACATCGTGACGAAACGAGAACTGGAACGTAATTTTAAAAATTAACTTGACATATTTCAACTATGGAATGATGGTACAGCTGCAAAAGATCTGTTTAATATTAGCGCATATGAACATAACTGAACTAAACTGCAAACAATGAATGTAACATGAATTTAATGTATTTAAAACAGCGAACGTAAGAGTACATGATACCGCGAGATATCCCCTCTGCCCGTGATATTTCCTACACTGACTTGCACCATAGGTTACCGCTCTTTAACACACATTATTATTTGATGACACTGGACTCGCGTAACCACAATAAATGGCTAAACGATCCCTAAACCAGACTTACTTATCAAAGAAACCCAACTCATGTCCCGATTTCATCCATTTTATGTGAGGAGGTGGAAACCCGGAACTCTCGCACCTGAGTGTTGAAGACGCTCCCGCGCTTACTGTGATATTTTCTGGCTGCTCCGTTATGTGAGGCTG